CAAAACAGAAGATTGGCATGGATGTTAGCTCAGGGACAATCTTTCTCAAGCAAAAAGGGGAAGACTGGCAACAGATGTTAGCTCAGGGACAATCTTCCTCTCCGAAAAAAAAAAAAAAGGTGGGTGGTCAAATCTGTCTCATCTCTTCAAAATGGGAAGTATGCAATATTCAAGCCACCAACATTGAGTTATTTCTGCCAGAGAAAATGCTGTTGCAACTAGACTGAACGAGATAAAGAAGGCTGACTTATAACTACCCTTTCTGAGGAAGAGTAGCATTACTAGGAAGTAGACAAGATCCTGAAAGGATCTTAGGAACACTCCCACAGGAGGGTAGGAACAGGGGAAAAAATGGCAAATAACACTCCCTAGAAAAATATTGCCAGGAAACAGATGTGACTTATCATATCACCATCATATTATGACATATCATTTTCACCATCAACTTAAAAAATATAAAGGAATCATAGCTACAAAATAAAAGAACACATCAGAGATATGAGATTCAGGAATATGCAGGAATCAATAGAAGCTAAAACATGAGCCGGCAGCACTCGGCAAAGAAGTGGGAGAAAAACAAATAAAACCATCACAGAAATGAAGCCAAACTGGAAGCAACACAAAGAATGACAGATACTCCTGCAACCACCGTAAAGGACATAGAGAACAGGATGGATCAAAGAAAGCATGATAAAATGGAAATGAAGAAAACAATTAAAAGGTCTAAGAAAATTTAAAACATACACGGCAAGTAGAGTCAACATAAATAAATATCAGTAAATTTTATACATATTTAAAGAAATAAGAAAGTTTTGCATAAATGAATCAGGCCTTGAATCTACATATTAAACAGTCATACCAGGTTCCACAAAAAGTGACAAAGAATGAATAACACTTAGATATACCCTATTCAATTACAAAGAAAAAAATTCTCTGGGAACTCAATAAAAATATCAAATCAATTATGAGTGAAAAATATTAGGGTAGCCTCAGACTTCTAGAAAACAACATTCAATGCTAAAAGATAGTGGAGCAATGAAAGAAAAGAAAGTATGACTCACAAACTCTACCCATAAGAAAACTGTCATTCACCTTCAAAAACTCAGAGCATATAGTTCCCGGGAGTTTTGTTTTGTTTTGAAAAAATAACTAAAAAAGGAAAAAAAAAATCTAACTAGCCAAAAGAGATTGGATGAAAATTGGACAACATATAATTATTTAATTCATTTATCTGTTATATTAAGATTAAAACTCGTGGGGATTACGGTCACAGGAAAAATATGTAAAATTACAAACAATGACAACATAGAAACAATGTAACTTACAAAGTTGATAGGGAAATAGTGTACATGTTGAATTCCTCATCTTTCAAGGCTGAGAGTCAAAATACATCACTCGTATCTGAAAAATAATAGAGGTATATACACTATTTAAAGGTATAAACACTAAGAGAAAGAAAGTAAGCAAATAAACTGGGGAGCACAGAGATGGGAGGAGAGAGTGGAAAAAAAGGAAATATATTAAACATTTTCACAACAGCCTGAAATATCATAAGGAAAATAAAAAGGCAAATGACAAACTGAGCATAAATATTTGCAACATATATCACAAGTCCCTAATAAATAAATAGTTTCTAAAAAATTGAGAAGGAAACATCAACAACCCAAGAGAAATTGGGCAAGGATATAAAAAGAATAAATCAAATTCAGAATATAGGAAATTTCAAAGGACAAATGACCTGGTTTCCTCAACAAATAAATCACAGAGAAAAGAAGAATGGCAGGGAACTGTTATGAATTAAAAGAAGTTTAAAAAATATATAAACCAAATGCAATGTGTCAACACTTTTTGAAACCTAATTCAAACAAATAAATAAAGATTTTTTTTTTTTTTTTGTGAGGAAGATCAGCCCTGAGCTAACAGCCATGCCAATCCTCCTCTTTTTGCTGAGGAAGACTGGCCCTAGGCTAACATCTGTGCTCATCTTCCTCCACTTTATATGGGATGCCATCACAGCATGGCCTGACAAGCGGTGCCTCGGTGCGCTCCCGGGATCTGAAGCCGGGCCACCAGCAGTGGAGCGTGCACATTTAACCACTACGCCACGTGGGCCAGCCCCAAATAGAATTTTTAAGACACTGAGGATATTTGAATATGAATCAAGTACTAAATATTAAGGAGTCATTAATTTTAGTTCATGTGATGATGATATTATGGATTGTTTTTAAAGCCTAATCTGTTACATAAACATATTCAAGTATTGAAGGGTGAATTGATATGATATCTAGAATTTAATTTAAAATATATAAAAATTATAAGAAAGAAAAGGGATAGATGCAAAAATGTTAGTAAGTTTTGAATCTGGGGATGGGCCTATGAGGGCTCATTCTCTACTCGTATATATGTTAAAAATTTAATTGTGTACACCCCAATGAGCAGTTCTAAAAGTTCTGTATGGCAGTGCAATTATCTGTGTCTAGAGAACAGATAAATTAGAAATATCACAATTACTTCGGTTCCCACTGAAATATAATTCCCTTTGCTTTCTTTTATTGGTATTATTTGTTTTAAAACTAAAGATTTAAAACGAGGCATATAAACAGTTGTCTGACAGTTTTTTATCTTGAGCTGACTGGTTGACTCTGAACTGACTGGTCAATCCAATTAAACTGATTGTATAAGGACTTTGGCTAAAATATGAGAATTACATTATTGCAATTTTGCTGATGAAATCGTTTGTCATTAAGGGAGAGGAGAGGAAGAGGTACGCAAAGGTTGTGGATAGCATCATAAGAAAAATTCATTTGTTATTGATCATAGTTCAGACACCATAGGGAAGGGCACAAACATCACTATCTGGCTATTCTGAAACCCCCTTTGCAGCACCTCACCACCACCCCCCCAACTCATCCAGGGGAGGCCTTCTGCTCCATTAACAAATCTGACAATGCTGTTCATAATTACTTCAAGCAAGCAATTACCCATCCCAGGGTAACTGCATTGTTTTAAAAAAAAATGTCTCTGGATAACAGAACATTTGAGGATAAAGGAACTAATGCTAACAGAGGCATTTCAGACAGGAGGAAAAAAATTGCAAGGGGGATGATCAGATTTTCATTAAGGGAAGTAGGGGGTTATCAGCACTGTCAAAGGACACCCAACAATAATTGTTTTATCTGCTTTTAGAACTAAGTGGATATAAGACTGTAGGGAATTATTTGAACTACTCAGTAATGCAAACTACCAGACACTTTTAACACTACTTTAGCAAAATTCGTATTTCAAAGCAAATAATAAATATGCTTCATACAATTATCCCACCCCAATCATCAAGGAAACATTCTCAGGACCTTGAATTGATACCCCTTTATTAGCTTTGTTTTAATTGCTTTAAGAACTTAGAATTTTTTTAAAACTTTATTTGTTAAAAAATAAATATTCCACTAATTTCAACAAGATGTCTCCCTCTAGTCTGCCTACTTCCAAATTGCTGAGGTTTTCACTATGTGGTAATAGCAGAAAATAACCAAACACAATGTGCATAATGTACCTCTAGCTTTACGTACCATCCTGCAAAACACAGCAACATGGAACTAATGGACAGCAGTGCTTCCCTATTGAAGTGACAAGAGAAATCTAAAGATACATTGATAGACTTAATATGATTAAATTATTACGACCTTTAATGTGATTAATTTCATTTCATTAATAGCATAATTTCAGTGACCATTTCAAGTCCAACATGCCCAAGATGAGAATTCAAGAGTCTGAAGTTCATACTGCTATTTCAGCATTTACACCTTCTTTTAATTGTTTCCATCTAAGTGATGCTTTTATCTTTAGACACGCTTATCTACTTCTTCATTCTCTTTTGCTTTGCCTTATGCCACTTTCGTGAATTCCTTCCAGGGTGGTAGAGCCCTTGCGAACATCTATGCTTTTATTGTAGAATCTGCCCCCAAGGTAGCCACATTCTCACAGTGTCCTTCTCTGCAGCTCACAGCATAACCTGCTCTTCCATGATACATGAAGGACCACACACACACACTCACACTCAGAGCAAGCTCATGCACATGCACGCAAGTCCAGCACATGTATATTTCAGTTCCCAGAAGCTCCTTGGTCTAGCTTTCATGGATGCTACGCAGATGCTGCCTTGGCATGGCATTCTCACTGACCAGAGATCCCTCCCTTCCCCACAGAGCATGTGCTCACTTGGTTTGGTGGTGGGGAACAGATCTCGTCTACTCATGTCTTCAACTTCCACCCTAGAAAGGTCACTCCCAGATCTACTCACAGTCTAGATTCTCTTTCTGGACCTTACCTATACCTAGATATCATCCCAGTTCTGACTCAAGGCACCATAAAAGCAACAAACCGGAATCACTATGAGGGCAAGAACCACCTCTCATTCAACACCATGTCTCTACCTCCTCTCAGTTTACCTGGACCACCAATAATTTTGAATGGCTGATTTTTCATCTCACCAGGTCCTTTATCTAGCTTTCAGCTCTTCCTCACCACCTTCCCACATCCATCTCGTTTGGGCCTCAACCTCCTTTGCTAAGTAATATCCACCCCTGTCCCTACTCTCCAGAAACAACTTTCCCAGACCTGAGAAATGACTCCTGCCCCGGACTTTGCCTATTACCAAGTAAACTGGCTTTCTATCTGAGTTCACGTCAGATCCCAAAGAGTAAATGAGGTCTTGTCATGCTCTCATTTCCACTCTCCCTCAGCCTGCTCTGCTCCTCTTCACCCCTGACATTTTCCTACTAAAGCTAAGCTCATAGCAAGAGACCTGCCTCCCAAGCAAGACTTCAGTTCCCAGGGCTGGGAGTAATAGCCCATGTCTACTGAGTGCTCACCATATAGCAGAGACAGTTCTAAATACCTTATGGATGTGATCTGTGAGGTGACCAGTATGATGACTAGTATCTCATTTAATCCACAGTGAGGTTTACCAGTACAAATAAAAGAATACCCAGCCTCAAAAGGTCTTAAACAATAAAGAAATTTATTGTCTAAATTAGAGGTCGTAAGGTAGGGCTGCCTCCAGGCATGGTACAATGAGGACATTAGCAGATATAGATGAGAATGATAACTCTGAACTCCTCAAATCCTCCTGAACGTGCCTGGCTGGCAGAGGGAGCCCCCACAAATCCCCCAACCAAGCTTCTCTGATTTAACATTTCAATGACTTAACCTGGGGTAATGGCCTCACAGAGGTATGCACATTATTCTCAGCACCCACCCCACTCTCTCAATGCCTCTGAGCCCTCTTGGGCCACAGAGATCTCAGCATAGCCCAGATAGCAGTACAAGGTCTAGTTCAGGAGATAGCCAGGCATAGTGCCAATTTCCATAGGCAGGAACCTGAGGCATATGTATGGGTGGGGATTCTAAGGGTGTCTGCCCAAGGAGGATGAAATGTTAAGATTCTATTTATTACCGGTGCACTTACCAAGGAACAAGGATTTAATTTTAGCTCGAGCACCTGAGAGGGGCATTAAAACAATGTGCTACGTTGTTAACTGCAGCCTGAACTTAATAGTACTCCACAGGCAATAAGAATTAAAGGACAGAACCTCCCTGGCAGTGTTAAGGAAGGAACCCAAAGGCTCAGGAAGATAGGAATATTGTATGTGTCCAGATTTATGCCTGTTGTCCCAGTCTAATTATTAATAGTGTCACTTTCACTCTCAAAAGTGTCCCAGTTTGGGATGGTGTGCCACCTGCTCAGTCACCCCTTACCCATGTCACCCCGGAGGCTCCAGAGGACACTCCCTTTGCCAGGGCTTTAAGAAATGCCTTGGTGAGGGGAGCACCAGAATCCCAATAAAGTCCTGTGGTAGATGTCCTCTGTAGCCTAGAGATGACAGTGGGGAGTACTGGCATTGAACTAACTTCCCTGATCTCAGTGGGAACAATGGGAGTCAGACTGAGTGAGAGGGGTAGTGGCCAATGATGGCACTTAACCATTAAAAGACACTCCTTTCTTTTTTGAGTAGTGCTTGATATTTATTGAAAAGAACAAGTGCTTTTTCCAGGTAGTATTGAGGAGCTGGGCCGAGTGCCTGTTCTTGTTTGTTTTTAGTATTTTTGTCCAAATGCACACATCTGTGGGACTGCTGCCATTTTGGAAAAAAAATAACAGCTGTGCAAAACGGGTGCCTAGGAGAAAAGAAATGTCAACAATTTGGCTGCCAGGCACACTAGGCCCCTGCAGCAATTTGGTGGGGCAAGGGAGGACTCTGGGAGCAGGTAGGGAACTAACCAGGCTGCAAGACTGGCCCCTTAAAGGTTGGTGAGCTGTACAAATCATTGTCCGAGGAGGTGTAGCCAACTCAGGCATCTTCTAGGTTGACTCTTATCTCCAAAGGTGGTGGTCTGTCACTGGAATGTGATGGACGACGGTGAAGTGGCAGCTTTAAGTCTCTGGGCAGATGTAGGCCTGGCAGTTTGGCAGGGCTGTGCGTAGTCTGACCACTTTGTAACAGGGTCCTGCCCTAAAGCTGGGGCTCAGGACACAGTCCAAATTAGCAGCGGAGGGTCCTGGGGCTGGCCAGACTGGGTGGCGGAGCGCTTCACAGCGGGGCCCCAGCTCCAGCAGCAGGTAACTGGAGCACTCACTATTCCTGGAACAAAGACAAGCACTACGAGGGAGGCGGGGGATGAGGAAGAGAATGGGAGGGCAGGGGTAGGAAAGGGGATAGGAGGGCGAGGGGGAGCGCGGCGGCTCCGGACAGGGCAGGAGGGGGCGCGGGGGAGGGGAGCGGCGTGCAGGGCCCTCCCACCTAGGCCCGAGGGTCTCGGGGCCTAGTAATCATCATCTTCGTCGTCGTCGTCGTCTTCTTCATCGTCATCCCAGCCAAAACACTGTTTCATCTCATCGAGGAAGGCCCGGTAATCACCTAGGATGGGGCTATCCATCTCAATGTACGGCACCACCCACTCCTCGGCTTCCCCGGTGAGCAGGCTGATTAGGAATGCCACCTTCATGGCGTCGTTGCAGAATCGGTTCTCGTTGACAAGCATGTAAGACGCCGTCTGCACGATAAACTCAGGGAGCCGAGAGCTCTCGCCGTTAAACGTTTCAGGGAAGGGCACCGGGCAACTCGGCGGACGTACCTGGCGCAGTAGGGTGGCCCTCTCGCACACCAGCAGCCGCAGCTGTTCCATGAGCTGGCTGTTCTCGATGCTCAGGGCGCGGTGCCGCATCAGGAGCGCGTGCAGCAGCAGCACCAGCTCGTCCACCATGGCGAACGGCTTGGAAGGGCAAGGCTGAGCTCGGCTCGGTTCGGCTCGGCTAAGGTGCGCACAGAGGCCTCTCAGGAAGTGCGTGTCCGCGGAGGAGCGCGGTGGCCAGGGGCGGAGGGCAGCGCGCGCAGGGGACCCGGCGGCTGCGCAAGCTCCGCCCACAAAGCCGCACGGTCGGCCGGC